GTGGGGAGCTGCCTATCTGCTTGCCTGCCTGTCTGCCATCTGCCTGCCTTCTGCCTGCCTGCCTTCTGCCTGCCTTGTGCCTGCTTGCCTTCTGCCTGCCTTCTGCCTGCCTTCTGCCTGCCTGCCTGCCTGCCCGCTTGCCTGCCTTCTGCCTGCCTGCCTTGTGCCTGCCTTGTGCGTGCCTGCCTGCCTACCTTCTGCCTGCCTTGTGCCTGCCTGCCTTCTGCCTGCCTTCTGCCTGCCTTCTCCCTGCCTGCCTTCTGCCCGCCTTGTGCCTGCCTGCCTTCTGCCTGCTTTCTCCCTGCCTTCTGCCCGCCTGCTTTCTATCTGCCTTCTGCCTGTCTTCTGCCTGCCTTCTGCCTGCCTTCAGTCTGCCTTCTGCCTGCCTTCTGCCTGCCTTCTGCTTGCCTGCCTGCCTTCTGCCTGCCTTCTGCCTTCCTTCCTGCCTTCTGCCTGCCTGCCTTCTGCCTACCTTCTGCCAGCCTGCCTGCCTNGCCTGCCTGCCTTCTGCCTGCCTGCCTGCTTTGTGCCTGCCTGCCTGCCTTCTGCCTGCCTGCCTTCTGCCACCATGCCTTCTGCCTGCCTTGTGCCTGCCTTCTGTCTGCATTCTGCCTGCCTTTTGCCTGCCTAGCTGCCTGCCTTGTGCCTGCCTGCCTGCCTTGTGCCTGCCTTCTGCTTTCCTGCCTGCCTTCTACATGCCTGCTTGTCCGCTTGCCTGCATTCTGCCTGCCTTCCTGCCTTCTGCCTGCCTGCCTTCTGCCTGCCTTCTGCCTGCCTGCCTGCCTTGTGCCTAACTGCCTGCCTTCTGCTTGCCTGCCTACCTTCTGCCTGCCTGCCTGCATTTTCCCTGCCTTCTGGCTGCCTGCTTGCCTGCCTTCTGCCTGCCTTCTGCGTGAAGGCATCTGAGGGTTAAGGTAAAGGAGCTGACAACGCCCTTCATCTTCTTTCAACTGGGACCAAAGGACAGGCGACATTTGAGGGTTCCAGATTTCCTTTGGAGAAAGGTATTACATTCCCAAGCTTCACCATCATATCAGGCCTGCAACGTTTTTTTATTTTATTGGACTATTTTAGTAAAATATTTGCCGGCTTAGGTGGACATTGAAGTGTGGGCCCACTTTGGTTTATAAAAGTTTTGAGAAACTTAAAGACTGAACATTTTGTATTTTCTGTATATTGTGTGTTTAATATATGTTCAAGAGTTCTAAACTTTAATCCTGTGTGATGTTTGGTTATTACTGATAGAGTAATATTTTGACAAAGTTTAATATTACCTGTGTTTGTTTTACAGTATATCCAATTGTTTTAATTTTATTCAGAGTCGTATTATTGAATGAACAGAACATAGAGTGCTAGTGTCATTTTACTTAAAGGTGAGTAAAACTCAACATGAGAAAATATAAAAGTTGTAAATTTAACTAAAGGGTTTATCGAACTCAGGGGCCCTTACCTACTTCAAAGGTATAGGTGGGCTACACACAGTTTTTACCTAACAAACCATGTAAGTTGAGTCATGCTGTTGGAGGCAGATAATGTTAGCTAAATGATGAGTTACACATTATATAATGTTTATTTGTTGTCACTTGTTACATCCCTTGCCAAGCTAGTTTATTAATGCTAGATAAACCCAATCGTCTTTCATTACTGTGCAGAAGTTYTGCTGGCTGCTTTCCACATATTTAAAAAGAAGTCTTCATTGCCACAGTTACAAAGAACAAGGTCAGGGTGGAGACAGACCAGATAGCCTACAGCAGCAGGGATCATAATGCAGACTTTTCTCAGGTAAGGAGAAATTATGACTTTTATTCTTGAAGTAGAACAGTCTTTAAAAACTGGTGTATGGTTTGAAGTGTCTACTTTTGACATAATTTGTAACAGAGTCTCGGAGAATTAACCACAGAAAGATGGAGGTTAAATCACATGACAGGATCACATCCCATTGTTGTCAGGACAGAGTTTTCATAGATATTTCAAAAGTACTATTCATACTCCAAAATATTTTT